GAGGAGGAGGCGGCGCGACTGGAAAAGCAACGCCTTAGCCAAGCTACTACGCGCGCCACCGAGACGCCCGAAGAAAAGGTCGTGCGGCTTGAAAAAGCACGCAAGGTCAAAGCGAACTCCCGCACGGCAGTTGATTGCGAGCTCGAATTGCTTGCCGACCGGATCCTTGCCGAAGCAGCTATCGACGCAACCACTGTTGACAAGATCGCAGCGTCGCAAAACTTTACCAAGCACCCAAAACTAGCGATCGCAGCCTTCCACCTCTGCTCGGGCAACCCCGACGCTCATGTGTGCAACGACGAGTCACTCAACGGCCCCGGTGGTCACGCAGTTTGCGAACGCATTTTGCGAGCTGTTGGGGATGCAGTCGGTCAGGCAGACGCTGCACGCTGTCGGGAGAGTGCGCCAGCGAGATGCCGGATCCGGGCGCATCGCTGCATGTGCCTCGTGGAACGAGGCACTCTACGAATGCGCAGATCACATTGTTGACGCGGGGCCTGTCGAACACCTACCCACAGTGTTTCGCCTCGATGACTTCCAAGTTGCTCGGCTGCCGCGCGACAGCAAGCTCGTCTCCGAAGTTGTGTCGGTGCTCCGCGTTGATGGTGTGCACTATCATCTGAACCCAAGCCTTGTCCCAGACAAAAGCAACGTCGTGCTGTGCTCGACATGCGCCAAGGACCCGACTGCAGGGTCTCACAACGTTGCGCCCTTCAGTATCGCCAAGGGCCACGACTACGGGCGGTGCGAGACGTTGCCAAAAATCAGCGACGCTACCTTGCGGGCTATCACAGCTGCACGTGCGCATCATATTAAATATTAACCTTCTTGTGCGCCCACACCACGCAACCGCTCACTGCATTTGCTTTTTTGCGGATGGGCCGATCCAAGTCGCCAAGATTTTGCCTGAAGTCACGGACGGGCGACGAGTCCATGTGACGTACGTCGGACCACACGAGAAGTGCGACGAGACGCTCGAGTCCATCCGTGAGCACCACGAGATCGTTGCAGACACCGCTTTTCGATTTCTTCACGTCTGGAAAGGCGTGGGCCATCCGGGCTACGTTGACGTCACTATCGACGACAGCACAGAAATGCGCGATCGCATGGCCGCCGAAACCGACGCGATCGAGCGCGAGGTCATCATCAACGACGACCAAGACGTCATTGCACTCAAGGAGTATCTTGACGACAATGTCGACGCCGTTGACGACGACACAACCGACCGGATCGCATCGGTTCCGAGTCTCGAATACTCGGCTATCCTCGCCCAAGTGTCTGCCGTCAACAAGACAGTCAATGCGTACCTTGATGCATTCTGCGACATTGTGTGCCCAGACGACACCAACGACAACGACGAGGTGTGCGATGGGCCGGATGTCGCCGACGACGTCGACGAAATCATCAACGCGCTTGAGGCTGTCGTTGGGCTAGTGACCGAGCGCGCGTCTGATGACGACCAATACGGGCACGTCAATACAAGCGACGATCAAGTCGATGTCCTCCGGTCGCCGCACATTGGTAGCACGGACGTTGATAACTAAGCTCCAGGCAGCACTAGCGACCCGAAAAGGACCCGTGGAACCGCACGTAACGGGCAACGTTGCGTTATCCTAGTGCGTGCGAAAAAAACTGGTAAATCCAACATGCAACTTCGTGGAACCCAATCCCGAACGCCGCCGAGCGTTGATTGGCTTGAGCCTTCGCGGCGAGGAACTCTTTGTTAGCCGCCGGAGTCGCATCCTTTGGGCACTCGGTTCCAATACTGCATAGCCGGACGCGTCTTGCATAGAGGACACAACAGCCTGCTGCAGCGTCGCGGCAAAACTTGTGAATCAGTTTATTCGGCGGTATTCAGTGGGATGCTCGCGCTCGCCCCGCTCGGTTGATGACG